TTTCATAGTGAGTCTCGCAGAGACCCAACAAAAGAAAAACTGAGAGGGAAAATTGCCTACAGATTTATCACTTTCCATTCTTTATCCTCGAGCTTGTTGGTGTTAGGTCAGAAAATTTTCCGACTCTCTCTTTAAAATCAGTAAATTTCATAAACCCTTGAAAGTTTCTGACCTAGTCGACCCACCTTGGGTTTTGGCGTTTAGGGATCGTCGCCGTGATCGACGGAGGAAAAAAACCCATTTTCGGCGTCAGAAACAAGGAAGGAGGAGTAAAACCGTAACGGAACCCTAAAACAGCGTTTCGCTTTTTCTGGGTCAGCTATGAGTCCAATTCAGAACTTCGAGCAACACGCTCGTCGTCTCGCTGAGCCTGACCTACGTAACATCACTCACTCTCTCTTCTCTCTTCTTAATATTGTTGTTGAGCTGTCTGAGAATTTATTGGAGAAAGCTATGATTTTGGATTTGAAATTTGTTTAAGAGTTTTAATTTTGTTAGCGAAATTTTTCTGAGGAATTGTTGTTTGACATAGAGTGAGTTCGTGTTTAAGTTTTCTTCAATTTTAAAATTGCATTGACACTTTTTTTTTGGGGGGTCTTATGTAGCTATTCAGACGAGGCTTGAGATGGTGGTGGAGGTCAGGGACAGTCTAGAGATAACACATACGTCTGAGTACCTTAATTTTCTAAAATGTTACTTCAGGGCATCTTCAGTGATTCTTCTTCAGATTACAAAGCCTCAATTCACTGATAATCTTGAGCACAAACTACGGAATATTGTGGTTGAGATCCTGAATCGTCTACCACATAGCGAGGTTCTTCGTCCTTTTGTTCAAGACCTCTTGAAAGTTGCAATGCAGGTGCTAACTACAGATAATGAAGAGAATGGGTTAATATGCATTCGCATAATTTTTGACCTGCTGAAGAACTTTAGGCCAACATTAGAAAGTGAGGTTCAACCGTTTTTGGACTTTGTCTGCAAAATTTACCAGAACTTCAGATTGACGGTCAGCCATTTTTTCGAGAATGTCAAAATGGAAGAGGCGAAACCTGTGGAGATTTCAACACCATCTGATCAGTCGCTGTCCCTCACTGCACATTTCAGGAATGGGCAGATTAATCCGAGTTCTCGTTCATTCAAGATAGTAACAGAGAGCCCCCTAGTTGTTATGTTTCTTTTTCAGCTGTACAGCAGATTAGTTCAGACTAATATTCCTAATTTGTTGCCCCTTATGGTTGCTGCTATATCTGTCCCTGGACCTGAGAAAGTGTCGCCACGTATGAAGCCTCAGTTCATCGAACTGAAGGGTGCCCAGGTCAAGGTGAGACAATGCTTCTCTATCAGGATAGAAACCATTGCTTATTTGGATGGTGAAAAGACAATTTCATTAAGGCCCACATTGTGTTCTTGTTTCACCTGAATTTTTTTTTTCTGAGGGACCATGGCATACTGACTTCCAGTGTTATGGCTTTTCTTTTGTTTGTTTGCAGACGGTTTCTTTTTTGACTTATTTGTTAAAAAGTTGCGCCGAATATATCAGGCCACACGAAGAAAGCATTTGCAAGAGTATTGTTAATTTACTCGTTACCTGTTCGGATTCTGCATCTATCAGAAAGGTGATGAACTGTCTCTTCCTTTTTCCTCGGTATGTTTTCACCTTGTGATATAATCATTGGCTTGCAGTTAAAGATTTGTTTTTGGTCTATGAAACGCAGGAACTATTAGTCTCACTAAAGCATGTACTTGGAACAGATTTCAAGAGAGGTTTATTTCCTCTTATTGACACTCTTTTGGAAGAAAGGTACAATGCCTTTTTCACCTTTCTGAATTCTAAAACTGTTACACTTGTCAGTAAGATTTTTTCATATTATCAAGTATACCTTTTACTGTTTTGTATAATACACCTAGTATCTATTGAAATAATGACATGTTATCTACTTGCTGTTTTTGCTGTGTCAGGGTTCTAGTTGGAACGGGGCGCGCATGCTTTGAGTCTTTGAGACCTCTGGCTTACAGCCTACTGGCCGAGATTGTTCACCATGTTCGAGCAGATCTGTCCCTTCCTCAGGTTCTTCCTGTTGTTTCTGTGCAATTTGTATTTTTTTGCTATTTGTTAGTCCTCTTCTCTAGAACATCTCTTTCTAGTTGAGAAAGTTTTAAGTTATGGAAACTGTGCCAAACATTGAAATTGGTTTTTGTGGTAGTTCCAGTACACAGTTATTGCTATTCATCTGTTGTTTTTGTGGTTGCGTAATAAAAAGGATCCTCATCTTTTCGATCTTAAAAGTGCTCGCAGTTGGGAAAGATGTTATTTCTTGCTTCTAGATATGAAACCCTAGGCCTCCCGAGATAGTCTAACAGAGGAAGATTCCAACAAACTTTTTTTCCCCCGAAATACAACTTATTAATCAATCTTTCGTGCTAACATCAGGCTTCCCCTTTTTAGTTTTATTTTCCCGTTCCATTGTCTGCTCTATGAGTGATCTTTCTTTTACAATTCTTCTTATTTAAATTTAAACAATGTGGCAGTTATCGCGGATCGTTTACCTATTTTCGAGGAACATGCATGACTCGACTCTCTCTCTTAACATCCATACAACTTGTGCACGATTGATGTTAAATCTGGTAAAGCTTTATATTCCATCTTGTTTGCCTTATATAAATTTGATATATTACTTAACATTTTACGAGTAATCTGTCAACTATGTTCGAATCTAGATTTTAGTAAAAGTTAATACTTATACTGGGTTCAGGTAGAACCAATATTCGAGAAAGGTGTTGATCAGCAGTCAATGGATGTAGCACGGATTTTGTTGGTATTGTTTTATCCCTGAGAGTTCATTTTAGAATTGGTTGGCTGCTCTAATCATTAACTTATTTATCTCATCATCTGTTGATAGGGACATATCCTGGATGCCTTTGTCGGGAAGTTCAACACCTTCAAACGTACTATTCCTCAGGTAATTCTGGTTGCTTTCCAAGTTCCCATGTTGTTTCAGCATATTGGTTTGCTGGATATTGTTCTTGTAAATGTTTTGCTGCAACAACACACCGATTTTTCTGTTATGTGTTATTTAAGATATCTTGGACCTTTAGCTGTCCTGATTGTCTATTCTTTTATTTCATTGATGTGTTACTTAGTCTTGCTTTCTGGTTCATAGCTTTTAGAGGAGGGTGAGGGAAAGGATCAAATCACTTTAAGGTCGAAGCTTGAACTTCCTGTCCAGGTAATTACATATTAACTATGATGGTTTTTTTTTTTCATAAGTAGCCAAATTATCACCCAATGTGAGATCGTTTTCCACTGTTTATATGCAAACTTGCTAATTGTCATCTATTATCTTAAATAAAGAGTCTGCTTTCTTTTCTAAATTGCACTAAAATTTACAGAAATATAAATTCGAAGCCCTTTATTATTTCTACTTATGCATTATTGTATTCATAGATAATGTCTGGTATTTACTTTGGATTTACAGATAGATTATCTGGCATTCTTGTAATTACTATACCGCGCTGTTTGCAGGCAGTTTTGAATTTGCAGGTTCCTGCCGAACATTCCAAAGAAGTGAATGATTGTAAGAATCTGATCAAGACACTCGTCATGGGTATTGAATCTTGGCCATACTGATTAGTTATACATATTGGTTACGTATCTATATGCTAAGGACTTGTCCTGATTTGTCTTCAGGAATGAAGACAATCATATGGAGTATAACCCATGCACATTTACCCCGACCTCAGGGAATGCACCCACAAGCTCTTGCTTCGCAATCATCTATTACTCAGGTTTTTAAAGGAATGAGAGAAGATGAGGTACTGCATGTGAGATTGTTTAGTATAGGCATTAATAGTGCGTGCTGAAAGTCCTCTAGTAATCTCTTTATCTTCAAGCAGGTTTTGAAAGCTTCTGGTGTTTTAAAGAGTGGTGTCCATTGCTTAGCTCTCTTCAAAGAGAAGGATGAGGAGAAGGAAATGCTAAATCTTTTCTCTCAAATTTTGGCTATTATGGAACCTCGA